GGGTCGTCTAAGTGGGGGTAGTCGGACTACAGCAGTCTGGGTACGAGGCAAGGACCGAGGGGGGTCGTCGTTTCAAGTAGTGGTCATTATAGGGAAGCAACGACAATAGACATACCTGTATCTGCGTTCGGTGATGGCTGGGAAGGGGTGGAGCTGGTTGTCGACGGCTTTGGGCTACGTGATGAGAAGGTCTTGTAATCCACTAGCTCCAGGAAGGTAACGTCCAATTCTAGGATAATGTTTTCAACTACCGACTATGACTCTGAAGGGGATGTTAGTTTTGCGGTGGAGGTGGATTGGTTCTGGATCTTAGATAGGTCGCTAGTGGGCAAGATGGGGAGGTTGGGTGGCAAGGGCTTGAGTTTCGCAATTATCTCCTAACTGGGTTGGGTGTTGGTTGCAGCATTCGGGGAAGGTAGAGGTGTGACCCCTGGGAGATATAGCTTCTTGTTTGTTTTGCCCACTAGAAGTGAGGTGGAAGCATTGTTGCGACGGCGGTGGATAGTGGAGGGGTGTGATATACTGTTGGAGTGGTGGTCACCACTGGCTCTCTACATCTTAGGGAAGACATTGCGGCCTGAGAAGAGTGTGTGGATTCAGGTGATGGGTCTACCTATTTAGCTTCGTGGGGACAAGGTGTTCCGTATTATCGGCGACCGGTGTGGTGGCTTTGTCGAGGCGGATGAGTCGTCGGTGAATCTAGGTTCAATTCGGATATGTGTGTGATGCTCCGAGAATATGCCGTCGCGAGTCTCCGTCCGATGGGGAGATGTGGTAGTTTTCGCTGCTAGTGTGGGTAGAGGCAGATTTGGTGGTGGAGCTGTGATCACCAGCAACCGAGAAAAATGGGGTATCTAGGTTGTACAAGGCAATGAGGGATTTTGGGCAATCAGAACAGGGATTTCAGCTGAGATTGGGGGTGAATGAATATTTGCATAGATTTAGGGGAGAGGAGAGACCCATGGGGTTTCGGGGCAATACCACCCAGCTTGTGGGGGTGGCGGTGGGCCACCAAAGGGGGTCTAAGACAAGCCCAGGAAACTCGTATAGGAGAAACGGGCCAACGTAGGTGGGCTGTGATAAAAAATTAGGGGACTCAATTGGGAGGGCCAAGAAGATAAGGGGGTGGGCTCCTTAGCTTGCGTTTCAAGCCCAAAAGGGGGTGGTGATTTGGGTCATCCTGAGCAACCCAAACTTTTTGTGGATCTTATTGTGGGTCGGATTGACAATGGGGTGGGTCGTAGGGCTACATGCGATACACACCCAAGTGAGATGGGTCGAACGGTTTCAACTAGAGCTGGTGCCCAACGCCGATGGTCTGAGTCATTGTTCGGGCTGGAGTTGGTGGTCCACTGTGACCCATTGGCAGGTTGGAAATGCCAATATCTTTCGAAAGGCGGGCGGTTGACATTGATTAAGAGTGTGTTGAGTAGCATCCCCACTTATTTCATGTTGGCCCATGTTATTCTAGTGTCGGTGGCGCAACGGTTGGAGAAGCTTCAGAGGGACTTTTTGTGGGGCAGTGGCAGTGATGATTTTAGGTATCATTTGGTTCATTGGGGACAAATCTGTCAACCTAAGCAAGCTGGAGGGTTGGGGGCAAGGAGGTTGGTGACTTTTAATCGAGCCCTGTTAGGGAAGTGGTTGTGGTGCTTCGCTTTAGAGCCTCACAGATTGTGGCTGCAGGTGATGGCTTCAAAATATAGGGTGGGCAGCGGGGGTTGGGTTTCAAGGTCTGTGTCCTATGCTCATGGGTGTGGTTTATGGAAAGGGATTTGGATGGAGAGGGTGGAGTTTTGGAAGTGGGTAGGGTTTAAGATGGGGGATGGGATTAGGGTGAGGTTCTGGAAAGACAGGTGGTGTGGGGAGGGTGTGTTGCGACGGATCAGGACGCTTCAGTGGCTTCCTATTTGGGTGGAGGGGGTGTGGTGGTTTGGGATATTCAATTACGGCAGGAGGTTCAAGATTGGGAGGTTGCTCAGCTGGTGGAGTTGTGGGGTTTCTTATATAGTTTGGGGACTGTTGGGATGGGACAAGATGTCGTGGTGTGGAATGAGGTGGGGGCAAAGGGACGTTTCACAGTAACATCACTTTATCGGGGGTTGATAGGGGATGGTGGTAGGGTCTTTCCTTGGACTAGTGTTTGGGTTCCGGGGGTTCCGACTAGGGTTGCCTTTTTCATGTGGACGGTTGCCTTAGGTCGGAATCTCACGTTGGATAATTTGATGCGGTGGGGGCATATCCTAGTGAATCAGTGTTGTATGTGCTGCGGAAATAGTGGATCATTTGTTTCTTCATTGCTTGGTGGCTTCGTCTTTGTGGGGCTTCGTTTGTTCACTATTTGGGGTTGATTGGGTTTAACCGCAGGGGGTGTTGGATTTCTTTTGGGCTTGGCGAGGCGTTCGTCTTGGGCGGTGGCGGCGGCGGCAACGCCCGGGAGGGGGGGGGCGGTTTGGTTATTGGTACCGTTCTTTTTGATGTGGTTACTTTGGTTGGAGTGGAATAGACGTACCTTTTTAGAGGTTTCTCGTGGTGTTTCTTGGTTACAGAATCGTCTTCTTGTAGTTATGTATAGTTGGTTGGAGAGTAGAGTAGATTCGGATTTATTTATGTTTCTAAATTTTTTAGATGAGGTGATTGGTTAGCCCTTGTCTTTTTTGGTTTCCCAATCTGGGGTGGTCTTCTTGTATTGGTTGCATCATCTTGATACTTTCTTAATAATATTTGCTTATTTATCAAAAAAATAAAAGATAACTTTTTGATTATTACATTGCTTGGACTATGCGACAAAATGGACTGAATAGGAGGATCATCGAAGGAGGTGCAATTTTTTTTTATTGATTATCTGAAAAGTATCAATGGTGTTTGATCTTCTGATATCACAAATGTCATTTGCAAGGAATAGAGTTTCATATATTTCAATGTCATAGGTTTAATGTCAGATATGCTAAAGAAGAGAGATATGGCTCCTTCCAATTGCATTTGCGTTTGTTTGTTTGCTTGACAATCATATTTTCTTCAAATCAAATTTGTCTAGAAGAAACATAAGAAAAGTTAATTTGAGCTTTGAGAAAATAAGGTACGTTTTCAGTACTAAGTTTCGTAATAATTCTCAACGAGAGCTTGTGAAGCTACGTTTTGCTTTCAATTATTTAGAGGAATGAAACGAAGAAATGTTTGCATGGGCAGGGAAAAGAGAAATATGTTCTTTCATTCTAAAACTGTCGCTGATGTAAATTGTTATTCTGTTTCAAGGTAGTGTAGAGGCATTGATTGTTTCTTTATGCCCTTGTAATTAGGAGTAAAGAACATTAACTAGTTTACCAATAACACACCAACTAGATATAATATTATGTGGGACTCATGTTAATTGATGGAACTCACATGTATGTCTTATGTGTCAATTGGTGTGTTCGTTGTTATACTAATTAGGCCTTGTTTAGGATAAACTAAAAAAGTAAAAAAATTACTAGAAATGCTACAAACTCTATACTATTCAAGGATAGCTTATTGGGGAAGCTGCTAAGACAGAATTATTATTTTGCCTTTTCATTCAACTCACTAAAAAGTCAAAATGTCAAAAGGGTAAAATTGTTATTTTGATTTTATTATAATATTTTATTACACATTTTTTCGTAAAAAGTCAAAAAGTTATACCAAACATATATTTTTTTTTTCTGTACTTTTTTTAACCAAAAAGTCAAAAAGTGCATTATATAGCACATCCCAAACAATTACTTAGTGTTTGTAGCATTACTGGGTAATTAATGAGTGAATTATGTTGTGGTTTCTACATCCACCAAACTTAAAACACTGTCAGAGCAAAATAAAATATTTATGAAAAAAAGCAAAAGAAGTGGAACTGCTTATACTAATGTTGTTGGTATACCAATGCAGCTTCTTGTTTTCTGCTGGACTGCTCTATGAGGTTAACAAGCTTTCAGGGATGATGCTTTCCAGAAGTGAATCTAAAACGAGAAGGCACTGAGGAACATTTTGCTCTTTCAGGGATTTTGTTACGTTTATCTAGATTAGGATTTGTACCTTCAAAACCTTAATATGAGTTGTATTGGATAGATAAGTTTTGGATTTTAAGCTGTTGGGGTTCCTGGCACAGTCAATCTGAGCATGGTTTTAAAGGAACTTGATATCACATAAGGCAGCATCGTTTGTTGGCTGTTTATTCTGATGTTTTTGGTTTTTGATTTTGTCAAGAGAAAGGAAATGGAGAGAGAGAGAGAGAGATTGGCTTTTGTGTGGTTTGTCAAAGAAAAAACAGAAGAAAATAAGTAGGCAATTTTCAAAAAAAGAGAATTACTCAAAGAAAAATTATTGGGCTTGAGTAATTTTATTTGTTTATTTTTTTCGACAAATTTCAAATCCAAACATATTGACACAACGGATGTCCTTGCACTATTTGCGACAGCTAATTTACAAAGCTAATTTACATTCAGTCCTAAGTGGAAGCAAATAATTGACAACTGCAGCAAGGGGGATTAGGGTAATGACTTTAGTTTTGGTTGCATGTGTTTTCGTTCTTTTTATTTGATTTATTTATTTTTTTGTTCCGTTTTTTTGTTTTTTGGCGTGTTTTCAAAAATGAAATAATAAAAAAAAAATCAAAAACACCCATGTGTTAACATCATTTTCAATTTTTTACAATAAAAATTTTAAAATTCACAAAAAAAAAAAAAAAACCATTTTTCAATATGCATCACCAAATAATTGTGTTTTTTATTTTATTTTATTTTAATTTTTTCCTAAAAAAAGAGAACACTATCAACATCCCAGCATGGGCACTATGAAAGTAAAGAGTTTGTCTTTCGAAACTAACTGTCCAAGACCACTGGTAGTTGTGTTCTCTTTTCCCCAAATCAGGCCTTCTTATTATTAGTGACATTTCAGGTTGCCTATGCAGTTTTGCAAATTCAATATGCCAAAAAAAAAAAAAGGAAAAAAAGAAAAAAGAAAAAAGAAAAAATCTTTTTCAATGTACAATGTTTATCCAAAATATGAGTAGCCATGGCACCAAAAATGCCGAGTTTCATACCTACAATACCAATCCAAGACTACAAAGTCTCTCCAATACAATACATCTCATCTCTATACAAATCTATTCTCATCATGTCCATTCAAATCAATTTATAATCAAATGACCATTATGAATTGATAGCCGCATAAGACCACCAAGGGTTTGCCAAAAATATAATCAATCATCCGTCATTATACCCAATTAATAATAATGGACAAAAGCCATCCAAACTACCATTGATTGATAAATATAACTGCAGTAGGATTAGAGAAATAAGACGGGGCTATTCTAAAACCATGTCTTTTAAGACAAATTGTCCGGTAACATTCCAAAGCAGACTAATAGAACAGAGTTGGAAGTGAGCTAATCACCTGCTATGCTGCATCTGCTGGAACATGGTCAGTAGAAGAAGCAGGCAAATGATTTTGGAGCAGAGAGAGGCACGGCCGTGTGATTCTGCACAAATGATTGCAGGTAAGGAATGTGAAATTGTGTCAATGGCTCCGACTCATTCCCTGCTTTATATCAGTGCTATTTATTGCTCCACCCCACCAACACCAACTGACATGGGCAATAAATCAGGACTCTGAAAAAACCAAAATCTTGTTCAGAAGAATACTCATTTCACATGCTGCTTTTTTTTTTTTTAAAGTGTAGAGCACAGATGTTGTTGAAGCGAGTTGCTGATCTTGAAGCAGCTTCTTGTGCAAAAAATAGCACTCCTAACCTTGTTTGGATTCTCAAAAGTAGAACCAACCATGATGTGTGCAGAAACAGCTCTATTCAAACCATTTCTCACCCCGTGAAGTTGTTAGATGCTAAAAGAATTCCTTGCATCCTTCATTTGGTGTTAACTGAGAAAGCTTTATAGTCGGCCTGTTGTCTTTCTTGGCAATTTGCAAGTCCTTACTGAGATGACTTAATCTTCCACGACTTCTTCCTAGCAATTGGGGCTCTAGAATCCTGTATAATCAATAATAAGGCTCCTAGCTGTAGTGCAGAGGTCATCTCATATTAGATCTTAGATCTCCTGCTGTTAGATCCACACAATCAGCAGCCTTGACTGATTTAGCAGAGCGTCTCAATCACATAAAGGTTCCTTGACCAGAAGATTCAATTTTTCGTTCAGAAATTCAAGTACATCTTGTCTTCCTTCCTTTATGAGCAATTGTCGTAGCCTCCCAAATGTCACCCTTGATGGACGCATACCCATCTCTATCATCTCTTCCATCATAACACAAGCCTCAGAAACATCACCCTTCTCACACAACCCATTAATTAGTACAGAAAACGTGTGCATGCTTGGAGCAAATTGCTTTGACTTCATGTACTTCCACACCTTTTGAGCCATCTTAAGCTCTTCCCTCTTGCAAAACATCTTTATCATCATAGTATAGGTGTCTGCATCTGGCTCACAAATCTTGATCATCTTGCGGAAGACGCTAAAAGCCTGATCAGTCTCTCCAAGACCTATTAAGCCGTTTAGAATGATATTGCAGGTCCTCGAATTGGGCATGATCCCCTTGGAATTCATCTCATTCAAAACCCTATATGCATTTTGAAATTTGTTTACTTTGCAGAAGGCACTAATCAAAGCATTATACACAATCACATCAGCCTTGACTCCATTCCTTTCCATTTCGAGGAATGTATCAACTGCATCTTCAATCTTATTGTCTGTCCCGTAACTATGAATCAAAACACTATAAATGAATGAAGTCGGTCTACAACCCTTAGCATTCATGTCCTTAACAATTTCAACAGCTTCATCTACCCTTCCGGCTTTGCAGAGAATGTCAACCATGATACCATATGTCACTATATCAGGGTTGCAACCCATGTCAACCATCTCCCTGAAAATTTCCCTAGCCTTTGGAAGGTTTGGATCCCTTCCCCACCCCTCAATCAGAATACTGTAAGTTTTTGATTCTGGAACAAATCGCTCCTTCATGTTATCAAAAATTTCCTGAGCCTTCCTCACATTCTTGGACTTGCACAGAGCACTCAACAAGCCATTAAATGCTGCTAAATTTGGCAGCATATCATATTTTTCCATGACATTGAAAGTGTATATCGCCTCCTCTACCTTCTGGGCCCTAGCATACTTTCTCATAATAATACAAAATGTCTCAATATTCAGCATTTTTTTGCTCCTCATGCTGTTCACAAGATCCCATGCAATTTTATATTGCCTTATCTTGGCCAGAGACTCAATCATAGTGTGGTAAGCTCTGATGCTGTGCTCGTAATTACGTTGCCTCCCAGCCCATTCAAAGAATCGATATGTCACCATACCAGCATTTTCAAATCTCTTGAGGACTTCTTCGACAACATCTGCTGAAACCCTAATCCCACTCTGGTCGAGGGCAGTGTCAAGCCCTAATTTTGGGCAAGAAATCATAATTTTACATATTCTTTTAGTGGGATCAGAAATTTCTTTCATTGTTTCACTTGCACTGTACATTCTGGCCAACATCACTATTCCCAAATCTAGTTTGTTATGATAGCAGTGGATTTTGATCATATTGTCAAAAGGCAAATAAAGGCTTCCAAGTTGCCTGGAGCATTGGAAAGTTAGTGAGTAATAATAACTGTGATGACTTTTATCTATAGTAATCTTCACTTCTTTCTTTGCACTAACATCATCTGAAATAAAAAAATGGGAATTGTAATTTTTTTTCCAACCTTGGTCACAATGCATTACATAGGTGTTTATTATGCGTAGTTCATGCTTCTAACCATAGAAACGGCACAGTGGATATTCTCAAAAACTTACAGCCTTTGTTATGCAAAATCGGCTGTTTTGGTGATACAATGAGTGTACTGGTGAAATGCATGATTAATTCTAGGCTAAAGCACAATTTAGGAAATTTATTGATGTCGGTAGTTATTTAATAATTAAAGAAATACCTGAGTTGAGATGACAAAAGCTTCCTCAAACAAAACAAATTAGACAAAGCGAGCTTTGGGTTGACAATTCAGATTTCCACCCCATGGCAACATGAAGAGTTTGATAATGCATGCCACATCCTGTTAACTGAACCCAAAAAAAAAAAAAAAAAAAAAAACATGGCAACATGAAGAGTTTGATAATGCATGCCACATCCTGTTAACTGAACCCAAAAAAAAAAAAAAAAAAAAAAACTTCTGTTTTAGCCACCATCTATAAAGACACAACTACCTTTGAGGACATTTAAATGTGTACAAATGAAAGCTCTAATAAAACAGCTACATGTCAGTATTACCACAAACACATTGAAATTTCTTTATCTTATATATGCATTAGATATATAAGAATTAGTGATGGGTCCAAATGCGATAACAGTTTGATAAATGAGAAAAACGGTTTTAACAGTTTTGGACGGTTTAATGAATGAAAAAATTTGTTTAGCAGATATTGAGGCCTCATTTGGGAAGTAACTATTTTAGTCAAAAAGTCAGTATGATTTGTCACATTACTCTCTACTTTTCTGTATATCTTTTCATAAAAAAAATTACTAAAATACCCTATTTTCAAACGAGGCCTGAATTTGACAAGTATTAGAAATGGACCATATTTTTGAAAAAAAGAAAAAAGTGTTACAGTGTTCGCTTCAAGTTCACCCCCAAATAGGGTGCAAGACAATTGGCTGATGATTCTAGTGTAGCTAAGAAATGAATTTTAAATTGGGTAAAAATTTCACTTTGGATTGAAAGATATACCTTGAATCAACAAATGCAACACATGATCATCTTAGGCATTTACAAAAAAATGAAACTCATGATCAACTTAGGCATTTCATCAAACATGTGGAGCACAAAACTGAAGGGGTTAGTTTACATAGGGTTTTAGGTAGATCAAAGAAAAACAATGCCTATAGAATTTGACAAAGTGGGCCAGAGAGGATAAATTGAAAACATAAGCAGAAACAAGTGCATGGATACTTACACCCTAGAATAGAAACCCAGATGTCCCTCACAGACACAGACACAGACACACACGCTAGTCTAGTTGCAGACTACTTGGGAGAATTGGATTCGGATCCTCTGTCCATATTTATGTGTCCAGATCGTGTGGAACTTAAGCTACAGGAGACACCTCATGAATGATTAGATTAAGCGGCTGTGATGAAAACACGTGGCGAAGTGTGGAATTTTTTGGAAACGATGTCGTTGTCTTTGGGCCAACGCCAACGCCAACGCCAACGCCAACGCCAATAGACGAGAGGGGCCTTTTCCCAAACTAGGTCTCTTTTGCCTCCTATTTTCCAAACTAGGCTTAGTTTTGGCAGAATTTCTAAACTAAGGTAAAGCGTTATTACAAATCGCGCTTTAACTGTTTGGAGGATAAAATTTGATGAATAGTTAAGGTGCTATTGTGAATCGCAAGTTTAATTAATAAAACGCTGTTTGGAATAGCAATTTTAGGGCGAGTTATAAAACGCTATTCTGAATAGCGCTTCATTTCCTATCTTTCCCACCTCAATTATAAAACGCTATTCTGAATAGCGCTTCTGATTGCTTTAATAAATAAAACGCTATTACAAATAGCGATTTCAATTCTGAATAAAACGCTATTGCAAATAACGATTTTAATTGTGAATAAAACGCTATTTAGAATAGCGTTTAAACTGTTTCAGTCCCCTACCATTGTTTTGGTGATAATGCGATTCATAAAATTTTATTGGCTTTTAAAGCCATTTTTTTTTTTCTTTTGTTTTTGTTTTTGTTTTGGTTTAGAAGGTGTAATTCAGAAATTTTACATAATATGAGAAAAACCTCTTTTCATATATTTATTTTATATAATATTTTTCATATATATAATTTTAAAATCATATTCATTTAGATATTATTAAGCCAATCAAGTTCATTTACAAAAGTCATATAGTTTCACTGTTCACTATTGTAAGCATGGATTGAAACCACACTTTCACTGTTCATTTAAATTAGATTTAATTTTTTTTTGTAAATATTTTTTTTTTCTGTTGTCATTATTTCGGTGAGAATGTAATTTATAAATTTTTTTTGGCTGTACTGAAGCCGTTCTCATATTAAATTTTTTTTTTCTTTTGTCTTTGTTTTGGTTTAGAAAATGTAATTCAAAAATTTTTTTGGTCTTTGCTAAAGCCGTTTTCATGTAAATTTTTGTTGTTTATTGTTTTGTATTTGTTTTGGGTTAGAAGGTGATAATGTAATTAATAATTTTTTTTTTTGCTTTTCTGAAGTCGTTTTTCATGTAAATTTTTTTTTTTCTTTTGTCTTTGTTTTGAGTTAGAAGGTGTTATTCAGAAATTTATTTTGGCTTTAAGAAAGCAGTTTTCATTTAAATATACATATATATTAATCCTTTTGTCTTTGTTTTGGGTTAGAAGGTGAGAATGTAATTCAGAAAACCAGTTTAGTAAAACCGTTTTGTATCCGTTTTCATTAAAAAAATTTATTTTTTTGTTTCGTCTTTGTTATGGGTTAGAAGGTGATATGCATGCTCTACAGTCCGAAGCACACCCACACACTGTGCAGCTCAACGAGCAACGACGAAGGGTGAGACGCGAAGACCACCGCAGAGTAGGCCAAGAAGACGAAGGGCACAGCGAGAGCTCCTAAAATAAATTTTGTCAACATTTTTGTAATAAATCTTAATACATAATATACGAAGTCACTAATTTACTAAATACTCATACAAGCATGAAAACAACATAACTGAAGTTGCAAATGTAATAGTTTTCAGTTACATAGGTAGTACAGACATAATTCTCCTACAAAAATAAATTATGGACACCATGAACTGAACACATATAACATACATCCTGGACATCCTGAACTGAACACACAATACATAAACATAATAGTTAGACAAACAAACACATAATTCATGACCTAATATTGGATATTAATAGCCGCAACATTTGACAGACACAATACATAAACATAAATATAAACATAAACATAACATAACAGTTATACTTACTCTAACACAAACATTACATATTAATGCATGACCTAATATTGCCGAAGTGTAGACATTAACATCTAATTCACGTTTAAATCGGCAGGTGGCTCAGAGTCTGAATAATCCGAAAGCTCAGCGTCAGAGACAAGCTCAGGATCCTCCATGATACCCTTGATAGTCGCATCATTTGGTTCTGTTTTGTTCTTTTTGGACATCCTTCTTAACTATGTATAGCTGCATATCGCGGGCTAACCTACGGCGCATTTGAGAAATCTCACGTTGTAATCTTTCACATAGTCGATCAACATTATCAAGATCTTCCTTTTGGATCTCAACAGAACGTGCTTTTGGCACCTTCAGTCGATTTTCCCGACATAATCTTTCCATTTGCACTCGCTCTATAAATAGTGCGGGCCACTTCAAAAGTCTAGCGTTTGCTAAACCATATCCTGTTTGATTATCTGATGGTTGCTCCACCAAACCACCTGGATCTCGATAGTACTTGGGCATGACAGAATGTCGCTTCCCAAACCTATCATGATTCCTGTTTGATTATCTGATGGATCCTCCACCAAACCACATGGATCTCGATAGTATTTGGGCATGACAAAATGTTGCTTCCAAAACCTATCATGATAAGCACAAGAGGGATCTAACAAAGGAAATGGTGTTTCATCTTCAGTATTGCCACTTCCCATTCCCCCTCCTCGTCGTGTTTCATCTTCAGCATTGCCACTTCCCCTTCCCCCTCCTCGTCGTGAACTGTCACCTCTTTGCAAGTTCCTACCACCTCTGCGATTCCCACTCCCTCCCACGAACCATGTAGCCATGCTAATTTTTTGAAACAAATAAATGACAATTTTGTAGAGCGAAATGAGTTGTAAGGTTGTGTCTTCACCTTTAGCCATTTATATAGTTGGTTATGAATGGCTTTACAAAGATGCCTCTGCATCACAATCCCACATATATGAACAAGGTATGAGTGTCACTAGACTGAGAAAACAGAGAAAAGAAAATACTGTGTATGAAGTCACGTGACTTGACAATCCATCTGCATATACGGACAAAATAAAGGCATGCTCACTGTAAGGTAAATCAGTGAATTCACTGTTGCCATGTGACTCTTTGAATTGAGAATCCCACATATATCGATAAGAGATGAGTTGTCACTGTAATTAAAAAATCGAGCAAAACATCAACTTGACCAAAGCCTGTGCACCAAGTCACATGACTTGACAATCCATCTGCATATACGGACAAAATAAGGGCATGCTTACTGTAAGGTAAATCAGGGAATTCACTGTTGCCATGTGACTTTCTGAATTGAGAATCCCACATATATCTATAAGAGATGAGTTGTCACTGTAATTAAAAAATCGAGCAAAACATCAACTTGACCAAAGCCTGTGCACCAAGTCACATGACTTGACAATCCATCTGCATATACGGACAAAATAAGGGCATGCTCACTGTAAGGTAAATCAGTGAATTCACTGTTGCCATGTGACTTTCTGAATTGAGAATCCCACATATATCAATAAGAGATGAGTTGTCACTGTGTATCAAATAATCGAGCAAAATATCGAGAAAACCAAAGCCTATGCACCAGGTCACATGACTTCGCAATGACAAGCCTCTCCACGATTTGACTACTCAATGTTTTAAAAATGAAACTTATGTAGGCAATGTTGTGTTTCACTTAGCTATGCATCATTCGTTGTTACGACCTACTATTTTTATCAACAGGAAAAATATGACTATTTGAATTTCTGTTGTCATTTGGAATTATTTTAAAATCAACTTTTGAATATTCGATTTGTAATATTTTGCTAAACATTTACAATCTCAACTTTTGAAATCAACTTTAAAAGGATGGTGAATCTTGTGAGTGAAACGTGGGTTACGTAGGGGTACTTGGCCAGCAATGTTTATGAATATCATGGTGCATTCAAATCTGTCCAGAAAAGTGGTGCATTCAAATCTGTCTGGAAAACTGGTGTGACACAGTAATGTCGGAAGTGTTGTTCTCTTTGGGTATAAATCCGAAAATTAACAAATCAGCGTCATTAGAACTGATAACAATTCTAGTTTCTATACTAAGAGAATCGTCAATTTCTTAAAAAATGTGCAGAAAACAATCTGTTTGGGTATAATTAATTGTAAATAGTGATTCATCCCAACCAAATCAAATAAAACCAATTGGGTTTTAAACTTAGTCCCCCAACTGGACCAACCACTTGGGTTTGAGCTTGTTTGTCCAGCCCCCGAAATTTAGTTTTCTGTCAACCCCCCATTCCTTACCAGAGTCATCATTTGTACTAGACTTACAAGAATTAGAAGGTGACTCTTTCTGCTTCCCTGATGGAGATTGGAATTCTTTACGTAGAGGATCCCTATTTAACGAGGCGCAGTTAAGGCAAGCTTTTCACCGAGGTACCCGTTCTGTTTTATGCGTCATTGAAGGCAGTAGTTCGTTTGTCTGAACTTTATTAGTCCCCCAACTGCACCAAGCACTTGGTTTTGAGCCTGTTTGTGCAGCCCCCGAAGTTTAGTTTTATGTCAACCCCCCATTCCTTACCAGAGTCATCATTTTTATTGGACTTCCAGGAATTATAATGCGACTCTTTCTTCTTTCCTGATAGATATTGAAATTATTTACGTAGAGTAAAATGCCTTTGACGAGGCCTAGTTACGGGAAGCTTTTCACCGACCTACCTCCTCTGTTTTATGTGTTATTGAAGGCGGTAGTTCGTTTCACCGAGTTTAATTTTCTGTCAACCCCCCATTCCTTACCAGAGTCATCATTTGTACTGGACTTACAAGAATTGGAAAGGTGACTCTTTCTTCTTTCCTGGTGGAGATTGAAATTCTTTACAGGTTCATAAAACAAATACAACTAATAACTGTAAATTACTATAAATGTAGTTATGTCATAAACTTCAGGTTCATAAAACAAATACTTAAAATAGATCCGTACGTAAGATGAACAACAACATTGTCTTACACTCCAGTAACGAACATACGACACAACGTACATACAAACATATATGAAAGATAACGGTGTTTGATTTCTTATTCCTCATCTGACATGTAGTAGTCAGAGAGATATTTTTCATTGTTTAAGACATTATTTCGCTCAATCACTGTCAA